AGAGATACGATTTAAAAAAGTGTTTTAAATTAAATCGAATACCACTTTTTTTTGCTCTCCCACATCTCGATTGTCGTCTGGGTCTCATGGGTATCAGTCCTTTTCGTCTGCTGTAGTGAATCAAACGGCTTTCAAGTGGAAACCATTAGCTGTTACAACGTCAAAACATTTGATTAACTTGCAGGCAGCATGATTGTGAACCGCTTTGCAGATATGCATAAACACAGTAGATCTTGCGTTTGAACGATGGGAAGGTGAAAAGAGGATGCTTATACCAACTCCTCTACATGGGTTGTTTGCCCTAAATTGAGGCTTAGATGGGCATGTTACCGCTACAAGAAGCAGCGTGTTTAAGGTGTAATCGCGTATGTATGTACATTACGATATGCGTGTCGTCGCAAAAGGTGTGCATATCTTAGGTCAGTCTGTTTGCTAGTCAAAACGGAAGGCAATGCTTGGACTGGGCTTATACAACACTGCGTAGTAGATGGAAAGCTCTTTTTGTGAGGGAACCAGATCCTCGAGTTGAGCCCTTGCGTAGGGCATCAAGTACCCTGTGGTGGTTAAACTTTGAGTTTCTCATTAATGAGATCATTGAATGACGTCCAATTTCACCAGTTACTACTATGAAAAACTGAGCGCCGGGTAAAACGTCTGATAGACAAGAAATCTATTGTTCTGAAATGTATGAAAGGTGTACAGACATCATGTAACTAAGAACACGGATTGTTGGGTCATTTAGGCGTTTCACAAAGTCTCTAATCTATCATTTAAGAACAAGGTATCTGTTTTATGAGGGTAGCAGAAGTAAAGCACACCGCTGCCATTTGTTGGGTCGAAGCTGAGTTTAACGCCAATCTGTAATGTGGGGTTTTATCGAATTAGTTTACGGAAAGGCTTCTGTTGTCTAGACTTAAATGGGTTGGTCAATCAATGTTATACTCTGGACATGTTTGCAGGGTGTATGTGGTGCGAATCAAATGCGAGAAACACGCGGACACGCAGAACAAGTTACTGAGCATTGTTAATGGTCTCTTCCCCAAGGGCTCTAAGTCAGTGCTGCCCAAGAATGTCTCCAGCACAGTGTTTGTCAAGATCATTCACTTCATTGCACAGGTACGCTCGACTTCCTTCAAGGATGGTTTTATTTTTGTGATGTTCTGTCCTGGTACATTGTTTTCCTTCCCCTCTAACTGTCAAATTCACCTGTTTTTCCTGTTCCTTGCAGTCCTTGTCATTACATCATTTCTCAGGCATTTTTCATGGCATTTTAGGAAACATTATGTCGATAGGATGCGTATTCAGTTGTTTTATTACTGTTGATGTCACTCATTTTGTTGCAATAGTGGTTTTTTTACTGTCTAAGTTTTAATAAATGAGGTTCATTGTTAAAACAACATGAACTCTTTGCAAAATCGTAAAAGCCTAGCAAATTTTTTATAAGCAAACGAAAATTCGACCCCCTTTTTACCGTAAGGCGTGGTAGTCGCGTTCGACTTCTGTCAGTCATAGTCGCTTGTCAATTTTGGGCTTTGCGAATTGTTGAATTCAGCTCCATTACTAATCGTTGCAACTTGGGTATCTTTGTTGTGTTAAATGGTTAGCGTTCTCCCTTCATACCTTGGGTGCCGTTGCTGACACTTGTAACGGCGGAAATCTTGTTTGAAATTGATGTTTAAGCGCCTGCGGAAGTGTTAACCTGGCATAGACCTGACCTCGGACGGATAATTTGTTCGTCTGATGTTTTCGTATCGGATTTAAAACATTTTCCATTCCTTTCTAACTCTTCGTTCTTTTTCTTCAGTGGACACTCGTCTAATTTTACACTAGTCACATATCTCCTGCAGCATGTGAAAGAATGCTGCATCTTCCCTCTGGAAGCACGTTACGCATGAATCTCATCCTATATCTACTGCGAAATTGTAACTTAAAGATTATTCTCATGGTACCAATAAGATTAATGAATCCTCTTTCTACCACAGTCATTTTAAATGCAGTTGGAGAGATATGCTGGTTTTTCAGGACGCTGTCTTTTCATCTCTGCCACCTTATTAGTCACCATAACTCGGGACTCATTCTAGATCCTATGTGCAGGCTAGGCCTTTTCAACAACCTTTTTGAACATGATCGTTCCTCATTCCTTGCTTTTGATGGTCAGTCGCGACAAATTTGCCCCTTAAAATATTTTTTAGGAGTCAATCGTTCGTTATGATTCTTAGATGAGTAATGCCTTTTTCCTGACGTTGTGGTTTTGTTGGCTTACTGGATGTACGCCACCAAATTTCGCCTCAAGCGCGGTTAGCAGTTCATCCTCCTGCTTTAACTACTAGAGACAAAATGGAGAAGTTATGCGACCGGTGCGCTTATTAAACTGTGTCATATTTTAGCAAACTTTCTGTTCTTATAATTTGCATTTGTTATTTGTCTTTCTTTTGAGCTCATTTTCCATTCGAAGGTATTGTTTCTACTATATCCACGAAATAATCCTTAACTTTTTTCCTTCTTTAAATTACTAGGAAAAACTTGACTTCGCCATGACAGAGATAATTTTTGATTTGTTGGGTGTGAATCGCTTGCAGAAACTGGTCTTTACGCCTGAGGTAAGTCTGCCTTCTTTTCCGCCCCAGTTACTGACCCATATAATGCATTCCCTTCTCTCCACTTTCAGCGCATGAATATTGGTCTTCGTGCCTTTCTTTTGATCGCACATGGCCTGCAACAAAAAGACGGCGAGCCGCCAATGCCACAAAATCAATCTCTTGCTGTTTGTGGGGTGGGTGGTGTTAATGCGTACCCATCGGTGCATTCTCGGGGTCCTGGCAATGTGCGTCGATCCTTCCATGGAACCACACTGGACGACGCGCTGTGCGAACGTCTCGGTATTCGACCCTACCTCGTACCGGTGCGCAAAGCTTTTGAGGCTATTCTGCGGCTGTTGGAGCCGCAGGTCTGTCGTAGTATGATGCCACCGAAACAGGGAGCTCCGATCAAAGATGACGATGCAGCGCCGTAAGCTTATCAATTCTTTTCCGTTTTGCGAGGACCTGAGGAGCACTTCTTTGGGGCTTACAGAAACGATCAAACACTCTGGCAGTGACTCAATCGGTTTTTCGTAATTTTCTTGTCTCCCTTTTGTTACACATTCCCTTTGTCAAGATAAAAAAACATCAATGTGGTTGTGTCCGCAACATTTTTGGTATAGTTTAACATAAACTCATTCTGTCGACTATTGATAACTTTTGCTTGCACAACATTTCAAGCATAGTCGCCTTTAAGAAGAAGTTGAGACGGGTCTAAGTGAAATTTCCCGGATTTTTCGCAGGGTTGAAAACTTTTGTTACGCTTAATCCTGCTATTTGTGATGGTTTGGCTTCATTATCAACGTTTCCAGTGACGATTCCGTGCTACTGTTAAGTCATCCATGCGAAAACCTCATTTAAAATGCTTATCGAGATAGGTTGTCTCTACTTGGTTTATTTTGGTTTTCGAGCACCTTTCAGTTCGATATGAAAGAAATGAGGCGACAGCGCCATTTCTCTCCCTTTCGCAGTGGTGATCGTAAGCCGAAGATAGACCTGCTGAAGACCTGTGTAAACTGCATTCCACGTCTACTACCGTACGAGATGTCGCGTACCGAATTAATCGAACTGTTAGCAAGAGTCTCACTCAATGTAGATGAGGAGATTCGTATGATGGCGCAGCAGACCATGGTCAATCTCATCATCGAGTCTCCAGCCTACCGACAACGTACCATTCAGGGTTAGTTGGACTAATCATATTACTCTATGTCTGGCAGTTGCTAATTTACACTGGGCTTTTTAGGCGACTAAAGTTGGAAAGACCTGTAGCTTGAGTTCTTCGCATTTGCTCTGCATTATGGTAAATTGATTCTGTTATATCTCAGTCACTTTCCAAGCTCTGTAATCGATAATCGAGTCTGAGAGGGATGCTCAGTGCCAAGTTGCGGAGGAATGAAGGATCATTAACGCACATTGATACCACCAATGTAGACACTGGGATGTCGCCGGCTTAGTAGATTATCGTTGTTCTGCTGCACATCCTTTCCCTTATTTTGATCAACATCCTTCGAATCTTTTCAGCACAGCTGTTTGAGTGGATTAAGCTCAGCCATGCGATTGGAACAATGGTGATCTGGTGAATTTAAATCACGGCGCGATGATTGTAGAGCTTAGCGTCACTATGGCAACTGTTAGGGATCCACATTTCACAGTGAACAGAAAATGTACTAGTGCCTATGACGATCCGGGTTGTATGTCACTGATGCAAAGACTAAGTTAAGGAGTAGGTTTGTTTTATCATAACCTCTAGCTTTTGTTACTTCCATAAGTGAGATCTACTTATGAGGTATATGAGATTATTGCAGAGGGCTTTATTTATTTATATAAAACCCAAACAATTCCTTTTGGCTGGGCTTTCAGTAGAGCAGATGGTGTGGATTAAGTTCTATGTCATTCCAGTGGATGTTGCATTGAGAACCTAGCGTGATCGCTTGCATAGCAAAAGTAGGTTCTTGCATTTAACCTTGTTCATCATTTTGCCTTCTCGTTTTGTAGCGTTCATTCAATTTATACAGAAGTACGTTCCGGACACTGCACCTCACCAATTGGACAGTTGTCTCAAGACCCTCCACACACTTCTGGTCAATTGGAAGATCGCCCTCCAAAGAGTATGTGTATCAAATTCCTTTTCCACATCGACTTCCACTATAAAAATTATTTGGTAAAATAGCAAAACAACTGCTTAAAATTGGCAATGGTTATGGTAGCCAAGAGGACCTACTGCAGGGTTCACTTGGGCAAATTTTTCTACCCTTTTTACTTCAACACTACCTCTTCACTCACCGTGTTCTATTGGTGTGAACAAAATTTGTGTTTCGCTCTTCATAGTTTGAATACTGACACATAATTGCCTTCTAGTAGGTGCCAGTTTTTAAATCCACTTAATTTTATTGTTTGCAAATTTGTAATTAGCTGCGGCTTACTTTTTTGTAGCTTGCACTTCCTAACTTCTTGCTTGTTCTTTTTCTTAAGAATGATTTTCGAGTAATGCTTTAACATTCCTTTTTCTTAGTTTCAATCAATTTCCATGCTTAGATAAATTTGCACTTTATGGTTCAAGAGTTATCCGTGTCACCTGTCTTTCAAGATTTGACTTTTCAGGCAAATTACCAAAACGTCCGTTTTAGGCAGCTCTTTTTGCTCTTGGTATGGCGCATTTCACTTCGTCCTTCTGTCAAAGCTTTTCACGGCTTTTAGTGCCCCTTTCACGTATCGGTCACTTTAAATTGGTCGATATGAAACAAATAAAGTTTTTCATCTCATCTCAAACATCACCCTTTGTGTTCTCACTAGCAACTCGCTCGTAGCAATCTTGATGCGTTGTGCTTTTTCATTACAGTTAGCCTTACGCATTATTCATCCCTGCTGATGAACTGCGCGGAAGAGCTTAATTTTGGAAATGTCGCTTGAACTGGTTTCTACGGCAAGCTTACTGCGCTTTTGACTCATCTGTTTTTGTGCACAAAATTTAGTTTTGATGAGGAAAACTATGGCAGAATATAGCCAGTATTAGTTTATCCCTGTCTTTTTTTTCGAATTTCCTTCCATGAACCGTCCTCGTGTCCATTAATGGGTTAATTTTAGGGCACTGCGGGTTATCAATGCACTGAAATTTTGCCTTCATAATTATGATTAATTCCATCATGCAGGACGCAGCAGTAACTACTAGTCTGTCGGAGAAGTCGGCTCTTGTAGAGGCAGAGGGGTTTGCTTTGGTGATGCTCTGCCAATGTCGTCCCCTCGCTCGCCGTCTCGCCGTCCATATTTTGCGCGAATCGCGCGCCGTCCTGCGACTCATTAATCAGGCTGCAGCGGTGGCGGCACAACAACAGCAGGAGCAGGGTCACGAGGATACGATTCAGAATGTCTCCTCTTCCACCAGTGCTGCCGCTGCTTCAAATATCTCAGTAATTGACATTCTGGACAGCTTGGCGCCTGCGATTCTGGAACGGGTTCTGCCGCTTTTGCCACCTAACGAAAGAGTGGGTTAAAAGGCTAAGGCGTTCAGCGTTGACACTTAGAGCCTTCTTCTTTGGTCAACTAAATATTTTGACCGAAAGTCTGTAAAAGTTTAAGGGAGGCAATGTTTTAAACATGAAATTATTTTTCACTTCAACACAACGTCGGTCCATTCGCGGGCTGAGTGTAGGGGATTAAGGCGGGTTTGCTTACCTGCTGCCTGAAGTATTCATTCCTTGAGAATTCTTTATTTTAAGTTCGCATATGGATTTTGAAAATGGAGTCATTTGCTTCTACTTTAGTTGTTTTTTTTGATAGGCTTCACTTTGATTGCGTTCCCAACTGGACTTGGTGTCCGTGCCCCTTTAGCCTTCCTCTGTGATGAATGCAAGGGAGCGGTTGAACTAGTCAGCGGGCGAATAATTGAACGGATTATTTACTAATGTTAAATAAAGTAACGAATGGGGTGAAGTAATTGTTCCATTAACTATTGAGTAAATGAATGAACGACTTTTGTATTGAGTTATATCACCTCTTTAAAAACAACTAATGTTCATGCTGGTTCATCAGAACCTAAGTTTTCCTTTGCATGCCATTTCGCGGAGGTGGCTATGGTCGCGTTACTATGAATCCTTAGTCAAGAATGATTTATAAATTGTTGGTGCAAGTAAGTCGCTTTATCGCATTGGTATTGATAATTAAACCCTTCAGCACGATCTGGCAACTCTATCGACGGTGGACTTCAAGTCACTAGCAGAGCGCGCCACTCCAGTCTGGCTCTGCGGCCCTCGGCAACCATCCACGTGGAATCATAAACCGGTTCTCGGCTCGACAAACATTGCTACGTCCACTGCACCCTCTTATGTTCAACGGTTCGGTAGCAGTGGCCTAGGGACCTCTAAAAATTCAAGTGGTACTTCTCCCATTTTCGTTTTAGTTTTGCCTTCACTTTCTAATTGTAATGTTTCATGCTTCGTTGTTGGAGTATGGAGTTGATTATGGTGAAATCTCTGTAAAATTAAGAGCTGGTACAGTCTGCTAAGCATTTAAGAAATTGTAATCTTCTCACTTAGTCATAGCTCTCTTTCCAGAGTTATTAATGGAACTTCCCCAAGTAGTACCCAATGTGTTCGTACCCTAGGTTATGCGATTCTCATTGCTTCCAATTTTCTTTGCAATCCTTTCAATTCATTCTCTTGGCCACCAATATTCCACCAGCAATTCACTTTCCATCTATTTCGACATAAAGAACACGCAATCTTTTAAAAAGCAATAAATGGTTGCGAAAAGGTATTTGGGGTCTCTTCTGTTCTGAGACGTGGTATTCTCTTCCAACCCTCGATTCATCCTTTGATGGGTTAAAATTGTGTTGATTTCAAAATAATCTTACTGTTAGATTAAAGGGCATGGTAACTAGCTTTATAGCCATATTCTGCCGGCTTGTATTCCAAATTGCGCAGATTGAACGATTTTCTGACCTTTACATGTTCTTCTTATTGAATCGATACCTCTAGACCAAACTTCAGGGCCAAAGGCATCTCTTTCAGCTACCACCACCATCACGCCTACTAGAAAACCGAGTTTGGAGACCTCTCCTGGCCGAGGTGGACGCAAATCCCAGGCGGTCCCGCCGGCCCCGCACACACTGGCGGGATCGACCGCCCTGCGTCCTTCCGCTTTCTCTCAATGCCTTCTCTCCCCATACATTCTACAACCGCAATTAGAGCGTACTCAGCTAACTGACGTTTGGGCCACTGCTCTCGCTGTCTCCCTCTCTACTTCTAGTGCACTCAGCCTTCATCCTGCTATGCTTTACACCTGGAATACGGTCTTCCAGCGACTAACGCAAGTCTTCTCCCTCATTGACCCGAAGTGCGTACTTGATATTTTCTGCTTGTATGTGCTCCTGCTATGCTTAGTGAGGTAGTTTGAAGAATAGTATCACTTGTAAATCCAAATTTAACCACATTTTCGCATTACTGGTGTGTTGCCAACACCTTATCTTCTCAATCCATTCATTATATGCGATGTCACCAAACTAGGAATAAAGTTTCTCAAGTTTTCCAACCATCACAGGGACGATGCTTTGTATTTGGTAATCATTCTTTCGCCAGTTCAAATACATTCCATACTGGTACTTCGGGTTCTTTTTCATTCTCAGCTAATTTACTATTGCTTCTGAAATATAATCGTGGATTTCTTGCAAATCGCTCTGGGCAACCAACGCGGAAACATTGTTGGAGTTACTGTTAAAGGGCACATTTTATGCCCCCAGGCACAAAGCTACTTTTAGATTCCCATCTCTCATTCGAGCATTTCAAGCATTTGTAGTGCTTACCTTGGATTACTCCTGTCGGCGCTCACAAAACTCACTTAGTTGCTCATAAGAAGTTTTTCAAGAAATCGAAATTAAGTATGTGATGAAGGCAATGCTTGATAAGTATCTCTTTTCGAATTTATTTAATAGGGTCTGTGAACTTCGTCGAGATTTAACCTCAGTACCGCTTCAAGATGGATGCCCTTGTACAGCAAACACCTTCAGTGTAGTAAATGTTTTCTATGAAGGAACTGTCATATTTTTATCTTGTTGTCTGGAGATGGATTTTATCCATCGTTAGCCTTTCATAGCATGGACGTATGTTAAGCGATCATGAGTTCAGACCACGGTCATTCAGCCGCCATTGAAGATGCTCATTGACAGACAAATTTGACACCAACATCAGTTACATAGCTTTTTTTGAATTTTGGCTTTTCAGGTGTTTCCCTAATTAGCCTTCAGTTGCCCAATCTTCGTCATGAGACCCCCATTATTGGTTGGATACTTCTTATATCTTGTAACTTTTAATGGCTTTCATTTTGATAGCAAAGTGTACATGGGGTCATTGGGTTAGTTAAATGCTCGATATTCTCATTCCTATTAGGCTGTAATAAGAAGTTTTAGTAACGAATCGGGCTTTGCTTCATCATTTTGAATCGCTGACAGTGTTTGAAATAACATGCTGTTTATCGAGCCACCAAAAATTTCGCATGGTCTATTATAGGTAGGTAAAATGACTTACAGCTTTTTGGCACTTGTTAACCCATTGAGATTGAGTCTCTGGTGTGTTCTCCACCTTGAAGTGTCAATCCTGTTGGCATTTGGCAAAACTGAAAGTTCTACTTACATTTATAGGAGTTGCTTTCAGCATAATACAATTCCAACCTGAGCAAACATTGTTTGAATGAGAACCTGTGTGCCGCTGGCTGAAGGTACCTGTGATACTTGTTGATGATTGGCCTTGACACTCGATTGGTTAGAAGCGGACTTCGAATGCATCCCGGCTAGATGCGAGTCAACCAGTGGGACTGGACGCTTGGTTATTGTCATTCACTTAAAACCTCTAGAAAATTAAGTAGCAGGTCTTCTGCAACCTGATTCTGACTCTCCATTGTTTTTGTAGAACAACCGAAAAGCTCATAATAGAACGATGTAGTGCCCATGTTTGTATGTTTTGAACAATTCTATTACACACTTATCAATGGTTAATAAATGAAAAATGGAAGAATGGTCTTTAACGACATGCATTAGAGGGCGACAGTCGATGTGTGCACTTCCTCGTCTCGCCTTACAAGAATTTGGCTGCTATTCTCTGATTGCTGATTGATTTATGTGCAATGAGGACTGCATCGCAATGTTTGCCAATGGGACAAATGTCGTTTGTTATTT